GTAGACACAGACACACACATATGTATACACGCACACACACCAACACACACACTCACACACACACACACACACATATATATATATCTCTCTATTGATATAGATATATGTTCACTCATGCATATTCATATTTTGATTTGCATGAGTGGACACTTATATGTTGTTTATGTCGAATGTATATAAACATCGACTTTAATTGCTGGATCCATTACGTGCACATATACATTACTAGGCTCGCGCATGGGAATGCCACTTCTCTGCATTTGCACCGTTTTCTTGTCATTATTACCTTATTATTTGATGTTTGTTTTTACAGATTTAGCTAAGTCTACACCATCTAATTTAGCAGTTATACGCGCAATTAGAGGCATTCTGCTTAGCTATTTTTTCATACACCTTGTGATCTGAATCATTTTTGATGCTTATCGTTGTTGTACATGTATAGCGGTGATACTTCCGATGCAAGTGTGTTTGTTGTATAGCTCTATAGTAGTAGCCGTTCAGTTCTACTGTTCATACGTGAATCCTTGCTTATCAGATATTAGCAGCAAAGACACTTGGACTATCCCGTACCTTGATATATTGGTACAGTCAAATATATTGTATACTATCTTTTACTCACAGGGTACTAACCATATAGTAGTGGTATCAAATGACTGGAAATATCTCCCGTTTGTCATCAATAACACTCACTGTTGTTTTGTTTGCTTGCTCACTACTTAAAGTTGTTCCTCTACTCGCGCGAAACCACATGATGCGAAAGCAGCTTTTCAACTCTCAACAATGAATTGATAGTGAATATCGATACGAACAAATGATATTAGTTAGTCCTGTGATATGTTTCACAACTTTGTCAATACTAGTGGTGAATTTCGATACGAATTCATAAGAGTAGTCAGTTTGTGATATGTTTCACAATTTTTTTGTTAACATAATTATATACGTCACAGGCGTCTGGACCTGTTGTTGCGGGAGTGGCTGTTGCCGTTGGTGCCTATGGACTGAGTACCAGTCTGAAGCTGATAACAAGGTATGCTGAGTTTAGATATTTGCGCGTATTGACGTGTCAATGATGGTATGTGGATTGCCTGCAGTGCTATACATTGCTTGATAATTTAATTATCGATGCACTCATCTCAGATCTATTTCGGATAGTGTTGGGTAGAATTGTATTAGTCGAAGTGATATCCAGATCTCGATCCCTGTTGCTTCGATTATTGTACTTGCGTCACTGTATACGAAACCTAAGCATCATGTGTTATTGCCTTTGCACCGAGAAATCTATCTCAGTTCTGCCTATACCCCAAAACACGCCTCTTAAATTTCTGCTTCCATATAGAAATCATGTAATTGAATAAATGTACATATTTATATTTTTTATCCCACTCATTAATATGCACGTTCCCCCCCCCCCCTCGCCATGCTTTCAGGTATTCTCCTGTTGTTGCTCAGAAGTGGGACCAGTTGCAGAAATCAAACTTCGCACGAAGCTACTACAAGGGTGGTTTTGAGCCAGAAATGAACCGACGAGAGGCCGGCCTAGTTCTGGGCGTCAGGTAATTTATTGTAAAGTGGTACTAGGCGCAAACTGTCTAGGCGTGTACCATTGAGACTCACGGATGTTTGTGGTTTCTGCTGACCAGTCGTACTTGTGCCAGTGTCTTTGAGATGGCAACATTACTAAAGCGTATATAGCTTCACATTAGTATTTCGTGTTCATGGAATCCAGACTCTCAACTAGACGTTAATATGTACGACGAATGTGAGCGTGACAGTGTATGTTATCAGTACATATCTTTACGTTTGCACATATTTAATGATGCTAATAGTATAGCAATTTGTGAGACGGAAATCGTTCGTCTGTATACTCTGGTAATTGGGGGGCTCTGACTGCGTTTCATGATTTTCAGGGGTACTATTGCAGAATAGGGATTTGTACTGAAAATGGAGTTTACGTTTGTATTTATATGCTCACACTTCTCTATCTACAGCCCTTCGTCCGATATAAAGCGAGTTCGTGATGCGCACAGACGAATTATGCTGGCAAACCATCCCGATCGTGGGGGCTCGCCATTTTTGGCCAGCAAAATAAATGAGGCTAAGGAACTATTCGAGAAAAATGCCTGATTTCAATGTACGGAAATGAGATAGTGGCTGTGCAGACAACAATTTACACATTAATAAAGTGATTCAATAGGACACATTTTCTCTTTGAAAATGTGTAGGAATATCGCATTCGAACAGCTGCGCATTCAAATGAGAATCGGTTATTGTGGGAAGCGCTTGCAATCGTTGATTGCTGTTTGGTTTTGATGTATCAACTACGGTCTGTATGCAATAGAGCTGCAGCTTTTGAATCCGATAAGTTGGTGTTGAGATCGATAGTGGATGAGAATAAATAGCTCATCAGCTGGCTAGTCGATATCAGCCTCACTCTTAGACAAGTATAGCGTGCAAATTCGACAGCACCACTATCGCCGCATGTCTAGGCACACGTGCGAATTATCACACGGCTTACCGCGCGCGTCTTACCATGCTGCACGCCAGACTAGTGGAAACAGGTGGTTTGATCCACCCTGGAATAAACAGGTATTCATCATCGGCACTTCAGATAACATCCGGATGAAAGAGGTAAAACCTTGCGCGCCCAAATATGCGCTATGTTGGTAGAGAGTATCAGGGCCGATCACACGTAGTTTGTGATTATGGCGTACTCTTTGTTGAGTCCTGTTGCACTGAAGAGCCTCGGCGTGGCCCAAGAGCATACTTGTTGAAGATCGCACGGAATAGAAGACTGACGTTTAGGGCTCAAATCAATACATAGAACTTTGCAACGACCAATACCTCAAAAGCAGACCCGCAATCCCTCTGCAACGATGACCTTGATCCAATTTAAATAAGAGCCATACACTATTGGCCCTGAGCCATATGAGGTTTCTGCAGTAAATAGACATTTGTCTGACGATACCTCCACCGCTGTTTGAGCGCTGGTCTCCTCCGCTATTGCGAAATCTTGTCGGGATCATAAAATAGAGTCGACGCTGATCTTCAACGTCAGAGGGTCGGCTAACTATGGATATATGTAGCTGATCCTCGAGGGTTCTTCCGATTAGACGGAGCATAATTCTAAAAAGAGTATCTTGTCATTTGTTTTAGGCCCCTAAACCCCCGTTTCTCATTCTAGTACTTTTATGCTTCGAACGCCTACTTTTTTCAGCGATCGACTGTTTTCATCACGAGCCGATATTCACACTGTTGACGTCGTTTAAAGACTCCACACAACTCACCAAACAGCACACAAGGTATATTCTATTCTTGTTTTTGGGTACATTGCCTAAGAAATAATCAATGCCAATTCCTTATAGACAGCCTATTTAGATGCAATGTTTATTTCATAAGCCGAGCTAGCATACATTCTAATTTGTGCTACACAATAGCATACTGTCCGTATACTATCGAGCGCACCTTGTAGTATGTTTCACACAGCGGACCCTCCAGAGCCACTACGCCGTCAGCGCCTTTGCGTACGGCTATGATTTCATCGCATACCAGCACACCACCTATGAATTCCGTCTGAAGACGAAGAAAAGGATGTGATTGTATATTGAGCAAACTTAGGAGAAAATGTTAAAGAGTCAGACAAGGCGCCATGAATATCAGCGAAATGCGGGATATGGACCAAGCCATTCCTTCGAGAGTCTACGATTTTGGATTAGTCGACCGCTGCGAGCTGGTGCTACTGGCATGAGCAATACACAATCCAGGAATGCAACACAATTGTGACTGCGTGAAGGCGCTCACACTTAAATTCCACGGGATACCGAAGGTGTCTATTTAAGATCAACAGCACCAGGAATACAATGAACGAAATGAACTGCCACCCAGTAATGCATCAAGTTAAGTGTATGGTTGGACAGTTGCAGATTTACACACAAGCCTCTGCTCCAGACGATTGCAACGGACAAACCTTTATATCTGCCCCATTCAGCGCTTTCCTGATACGAGGCATTACTAATTCACCGACAAACACCGGGCGGTGTCCTTGATTGTCCTTCTTGGCCACTGTAATAAATTGAGGTATACAATACCGTAGAAGTTTTTAAGTAGATTTTTATACTGAGAGAAGAGCGAGCAGACAAGAATAACAAGAGGGCGTATTGGTATGTGGTTGCACTGGACTATGGCTTTGCGCACACAGTGAGATGGTGCCTGTGGCGTGATTCGGTGCTATCCACTACATCTACGTTTTTTCGAGTGCCCCCCATATATATATGAGTTTTCATGAAAGTAAAGCTTAGTATTTCCAGCATCTTGGACTTATGCACCTCTCACAACGTTGATGCGAATCTACACGTAGGCATATCATATCTACTTCACAAGGTATTTAGGTCAAGCGTTGCCCAGCCAAGAACTATAGAGATACCCAATTCTCATGATATGTACACGACCCCACACATAAGCTAACATATAGCTATTTATTATGCTGCCGAGATCTCTCCCAAGTCGTGTATGGTATATATATTCACTAACCTATACTCATAATCATACCGGGATCCAGCACCGGTAGTATGGTTCGCTTGCCAGCTGCAGGGGCAGTTGCGGGCAATCTGAGCTTCCCTTGGAACCAACTCAGCTCATACGTGTTCTCACCAAACAAATACGTTTGCATAGATAGCGACGACGCTAACGAGTCGGCTAGGCGCACTTGGTAAATGTTCAAGTCTGATGTGACATTCGACACCTCTCCTAGCAATGGTATAACCACCTTTCCGAAATCTTTGAGGCTCTGTATTTCAGCGACCGAGATATTACGGAGCCGTTAACAATAGAAACGAAAAAACAACGTGGTGATCAAACGAATTGCTTTAAAACGTAGAGAATAGGAATTGTACACCAAATTGCTCATTGAAGATTGTAACCGTGGATTGCAGATGATGGTTCGTCCAGAATTTTCTATAAAGGTCGTCCTGCAATACTAAGTACTAGAAGGCAGTGCGAATTTTTGCCTCGGGGCTTGCGCCACTGAAAATGAAGCCCTACACGAGTACTACACCATTGAATGAATATACAAAAACGCACAAACACCCACATACACACAGATACATACACACAGACGCACAGACACATACATACCCCAAAAAAAACACAAACATAGACACAAACACAGACAGACGTATATATATATATATATATATATAGATATATAGATATATATATATGTACTATGTTATTACTAACGAACGAACGAACTAACTAACTAACTAACTAACTAACTAACTAACTA